GCTCATCAATCTCCTTACCAACCTGTTGATAATTGAAATAATAATACCATTAACACCAACAATAAAAAATAACTTCCAAATAAAATTCACTTTGTCTACAAAAATAATGACATGCTATTTTAAGAAAGTCCAAAAAAGTGTATTATCTTATAATAGTAATGGTTAAAAATAAAATTCCCAATATGGCACTATTCAAATCAAGTGATGGTTAGAGGTTGATATGGCTCAGCTATTGTAAAGGGTCTTTCTACAAGACCATGTCATAGTATTAGCTGAGGGGTTTGGACGATGTTACACTTAATCTTGGACATAAATTTACCATTTTCTGAAGAAGCGATCCAAGTGGGGAAGGATAAGATTTTAGGTGAAAGAAGTATATACCTTGTTGAAATGCTCATATTGTCTATTTCCAAGCCCAAACACTCCGTACTGGAGGTTTTGAAGCCACTCACCCCTGTCCTTGCCCTATAATACAGAAGAAAGAACACCCACTTTCAATAAACAAGTAATATAGAATTTTTACGCATTTTTAGGATCCAAAGAATCTTTCAATGACAACAACATAACTTATATAAAAACAAATGAATTTCCTATTATTGATTTGCTGACGATTTATTAATCAAATTTTTTCATGCACCATAATAATGATTATTCGAAAAAACTTCTTTCATCATGCAATCAGCTCACTACATTAATTAATTAAGGTCAATATTCAAAGTCGTACAAGTAAAGAAACATGAAGATTAAATCAAAAGCGAAATTTTCATAACATAATAACATGCCCCGCATAACATACTAACATACTCCATCATCATTAAAATGTATACAAAGCTACAAAGGACAATGAAGTAGACATAATTCAACTCACATATCAATAACCACCCCCGACACTTTACCAACTAAGATAATTGGAATCCATACATGGACCGCAATCTTAAATGGACAATGACATAAACAGAATTCGACTAAAATGTACTCATAATTTTATACCTCTAAGAACCACTTATAAAACCTTGCTGCATTGTCTGTCGGCTCGCCGTCTCCGTACCTGAATCAAGCATTTCATTCATCATTTACTTCACATACAATCATCAATTGAAAAAGGGAAATCAAGGAAAAGAAGAAGATACATACGTTGCCAAAAAGAAGAAAGCTAAAGATTCCTTCTTTAATTTTCTTTCATATTCTTCATCATCAGCAGCATAATCATCCTATTCATTATTCAAAGGTTCAGAACATATTCCAAAATACCAAATTATAACACTTTCCCTCTATTGCATATTATTCAAAGTTGAAAAATTAAAATCCAAATATTACAAAAATTAAAGTAAGTTACAAAAATTAAAATAAAAGTAAGATAAATAGAGAAAAAGGGAAAAAGGTCAAACTTACCAAATCAACAATTTTAAAAGTCGCTTTATCATATCTTGCTTTGGCTTCCTCTACTAACGCCTACCAACCACAAAAAAGTAAAAACACAGCAAAATTATTAACCAATCAAACAAAATTAAAATGAAACAAAATAAAATAAAATAAGATTCACATATTTCTAAACAAATCATATACAGTACAATAAAACAAATCCAATTTTCCAGGTACCAATAGGAAAAATACGGTATATACGAGCTAGCATTAAATATACTTTTGAAAATGGTATTCGTATTAGTGATCAATAACGCGTCAATCAGTGTAATTGAATTATCAAACAAGGATGAAAATAAAAACCTTGGCGAATCCCTCAGCAGTTCCAGTTTGAGTACCAAAGAAGACGGTAACTTTCTTCTTGCCATCGTCAACATCAACATCATCTTCCTCCTTAAGAATCAACGGCTTAGGAAGTTCCGATACAACTCTGGAAGATTTACCGCCGTTGGATTTCTTCCAAATGAGCAAGAAAGCAACACCAATGAGTAAAGCAATGGAGGTTGTAACAAACATGACAACTTCACGATTTTCAACGATGATCGCAGCAGCAGAAGAGTCTTCAAACGACGCGTTTAGCTGCTCGAAATTACCCTTAAAAATGGCACTCATTAGATCTAAAGGTGAAACCTTGATTGGGTTGGAATCCATTTGATAAAACCCAGATCAAATTTGGTTGATTTATTGATGAAAAAATTGGGATTTTGAAGAAATTGGATGATTTGATTAAAACCCAGAAATTAAAAATGGAAGAAAAATGGTGGGAAGAAATAATTATAGAAGAAAGTAAAATGGAGTCTCTCGCAAAAATGAGTTTTCTCTCTCCTCCAGTTTTGTGGTTGGAAGTGAGGTGGGGGTAGGAGAGACTCCTGAGGAAGAAGAGAGAGTTAGAGAAAGGGAGATGGAAGTTGGGAAGGGGTATTAATAATGTAAGTTTTGTTGGGGTTTTTTTTATTTTAATATTATATATAATAATAATTGATCAATGTCGGTCTGGTATACAACGAGTGTATGTGTATATGTTACGTAGTATGATTCATTACTAAATGAAGTGATATTCCGTATCTAGAATGAAATAAAATTTAGTAATTAAAATTGGAGTTTTTGTAACTTGAAGTGACTAGACTCGTTACTTGCTATAGCCTATACGCCAACATGAGTGGATTACAAATCGATACCTGAAATCAAATTTTTGTTGTTTTGAAGCAACTAATCTTACTACGGATTATATATTATACGTCAATACACGAGAGAACTCTAAGTCAATCTCCTTAAATGATTAGCATGAAAATTTAGAAATTGTGTGGTGATTTCGTATTAAATATAAACATAATGTTACTTTTTTCTAATATGTTTTTTAATCGTATCATTGATATAGTATATGATTGCCATTACATAACTCTATACAATGCGATCATAGTCGTTAATTAATAAATACACGATCCTGGATTCATAGTTGCTTATTAGTAAATAAATATCAATTGCAGATCTTGATGAATTTTTAGGTAAATAGTGGAGATTAAGTGGAGTGATCTCCCCTGTTGTATACAAGTTTACGTCGATATAAAAAAAAAAAAAAAAAAGTGTGATGGGATGGATTAATTTGTGGGGTAGATTAATTTGTGATGTAAAGAAGGTGAAGGGGAAGGAGGTGGAAAGAGAGAAGAGAAAAAAAAATAGGGCGCCAACGCTCACCAACCCCCCACCACAAACAAACATCCTTTACAAGTCTTAAGAGAAATAACCAGTCAACTTACCTAACACCATTTTTACTAATCATGGTTAAAGAGGTTATAATGGTCATCTTTTCTCCACGTGGCCAATTGGGTTGATGGTTCAATATTGAATTTTTGGGTTGCTTATTTCATTTTCATGTCATCATTTTTTTTAGGGTGTTGTTGGATAATGCAATTATAGTAGTTAAAATTAAATTTCATATTATTGAGAAAATATAATTATGAGGGGGAAACATTAGGTTAGTTGAAATAGTGTACAAAATTTGGTGCATTTTGTTTAACAGCAACTTAGAATTTATACTTCACAGCTACTAACATAATGGGCATACTATAAATAAAAAAGTTGCATTAATATTATTAATTAATTAATCCTTCAATTTAAGAGAGAGTTAGTCAAGTACTCTTTAATTTGGCAAATAAAAACAAGTGGGAAACATGGATGTGGGTGGCCACTACTTTAGTATATAAGTCCATAGTTGTACAAATAATGGTACTACATAAAGCCATGAACCAACAAAATATCTATCAAATACGGATTACTAAATAAAAAAAAGGTATAGGGTATATTCTGTTCACCTAAGTTTTATTTTTAAAATTTAAAATTTGTTGTGAATTTCATTTGAATAATCCTTATTTTTTTTGTTAGTTTAATTTATATGAACTTACTTTACTATTGTATATTTATCATCATATTAGTACTAATTATTCTTATTGAAATTTATCTAAATTATTTTTTTTTCTATTTGAAATAGTTTAAATAAGTAAAAATAAGATGAAAATACTAGGACCCAACTATGATTGCAAAGATATAGATTGGTGGCATGCAAGGTCAAAAGAGATTGTTGTTGGAAATTATTGGAGATGTGGTTGACATGCATGATTATCCCATGAACAAGCATAAAGCAAGAGAGATATGGGGAGCCCAAAACTGGTGTAATAAGTGGTTGCTTGGATGATTTTCAATGATGGAGTAAGTAATAGTAGATAGGATGGCGACGAGGTTGGTGCCTCAAATTGATGGCTCAATTCGTCGATTGAGAAGAACTTAATTAGTTCTTATGTAGGTATTTGTTTTGTGACGTTTCTAATCTACCAACATGTATAAAATTGTGAATTTTCCCCTTATTAATCTTTATAAAGTGGACTATCTTATAGAATTACTCCACATATTTCTTCTTTGAGAGCTTTTCATCACAACTTTCACAATTTTACTAGGATCTAGTCTAAGGGAGTAAGTTGAGGCTATGAAATAGCTCGACCATAACAATAGAAGGACCTAGCTAAACCATGCTTGTGTTTACTGGGCATGAATGCATAATCCCAAGCATCAAGGATATGATAATGGTTGTGTTGAGGATATGGTGGTGGACTAGTTTCAGCTGTTAAAGCAAATTTTTGTAAGGGTTATAGCCTAATTGAGAGGCTGGGGCTTGATGGTTATACTGTGATGATGATACGTCCTTGACGGTGGTCGAAATGTCCAAATGAGAGCACCTATATCTTAATCTGCTTGATCAGAGAAACAATTACAATCTTTAAGAATGGAAGTACATATTAATATGATTCAATGATCAATTTTATTTATTCACTAGAAGAAAAATATTAATATAAACTTCAAATAGGAAAACTCTTCTAATAAGATCAATATTTTAATCTTTGCATACATGTTAAATACTTAAATTTATAGATCCGATCCAATGATATCGATGTTTGCTCTGATCCTTTTAGCCACGTATATGAATCTGGATCATGATCTCTTTATGAAAAGGTATGCTACTAGCATTCGTAAGTCAACTATATTATTATACGATCCCCCTATCAAATTTTTTTCATTTTTTTGAAAAAGCTTCATACCTATCTAGGTATTGATCATATCTACTTACCATAAAAAGATTTCGAAGACATCATAGTAAATCCAAACTTAGAAATTTAAATAATTTTATTTCTCAAAAAAAAAAAAAAAGTTCAAATCTTTGAATTAATTCAAGTCGTAGATCCGTGCACGCGGGTCTCGTGCAAATTGGACCGCGTTTTGACTCTCTTCACATGGCCCATCCCCTTGGACCATTTCACGATTCCCGAACACTTTTCTCCATCCTCACCACACCTCCGGCAACCAATCGCCGCCGTTTCCCTCTTTTCCGGCAACCATTTCCGCCGTCAATACGATTTTCCGGCGTAACTCTCACCGGCAGGTTAGTAGTTCTGCCGCTGTTACTTCTCTACTCATTTGAATGTTCTTCGTTTTCCGTATTTTTTGGGGAAAAAGGAACAATTAAAGAATATTGTTCAAGTAATTGAATCAAAATTAGAGTTCTGAAAACCTAGGTTTAAGTTTGTGTTAATTGATTAATTTGTAATTGTATTAACGGATCAATTAGGTTTATTGTCTTTCCGTTTTTTTAATTGAATTATCAATCATCAATTGCCAATTTACTAGGTTGTTATAACAATTATTGGTGATGATGCTGATCAATTTTTAGCTACTGTCTTAGCAATTTTTTTAATTTTTTTTTTTTTTTTTTTTTATGTTGTTGTCAATATTCAGTACGACTTTTATCGATGAAATTGAAGGTTGAATGGTTATGGTGGTGAGAGCTGGTGATATTAATTTACAATAATCTTGAATTTGCTGTTGTTGTGTTGACAGAATTATGCCTACTTATGATGTGTTGATTTGTTAGGTATTGTAAAGCCTATTAGCTCAACCGGTAGAGCACTATGCGCTTGCATGGAGGAATGTAGGTTCGAATCCTATGTAGGCTGTCAATGGTTCAATGTTGACACTCAGAAATTGTATCTTTGTAATTGTGGTTGATATACTTTCATATAAACGTCACCTTTTTTTCAAAAATATTGAGCTGATCTAAGTATCTGCAAATCTAACTAAATGACGTAAATGTATCGAGGAAAAGTATGCCATTTCCTGCTGGATGATGTTTATGATTGAAATGTAGAAATAAGGTGTTGAAATATTATTGTCCTTTTCCTGGTGTATTCCACTTCCTACTGCTGTGTTTCTGCTAGCCTGCTACATTGCTATATGCTGCACTATTTCATCTTCTATGTTGCGTTCTGCTGTTTTCATCGTCTTCATTTCCTTCTGTATCTGTTCTTGGAATAGAGTTTTAGAATTAAATGATGATTTGATGCATCAATCACTATTAAGTAATGAGTGTTGAGATTTCGATTCAATCAAATTAGATTGATTTCTTTTGGGCACAACTAAATATTGTTTTATTATGATAGCAGAACAAATCTGATATTACATGTTAAGTGGAAGAAGCAAAGTTTACCAGCTACTAACCATATAAGAAATGAGGTTAAAATGAACAGCAATGTTGATTGGGAACAGAATAGTAATGATCAAAATGCGATCGCAAACAAACCTTTTCAATTGAGATAATGTACATTCTGTCATTGATTACATACTCATACTTTGCTGAAAGCAGTAAGATTGGTGATACCAAAGTGTACACGACTACGATAACTAAATGAATACCAAATTCCCAAACAATGGGAACTTAATTATCTCTTTTACTCTCCTATTTCATGCAATAACTGTACTACTTGATGCATCTCAGGCCTTGTTGTAGGTTTATCATTGGTGCACATTTGAGCTATACTGATGATCTTCAACATCTGATGCCTCCACATTGGTGGAACAAACGAATCAAGCAGCTCATCTTCTATCTGATTGGCCAACATCAAACGAACCCAACCTACCAAATTACCACCCTCACAATCAGCCTGTCCAGTTGGTGCCCTGCCAGTCACCAGCTCCAGCATCACCACTCCGAAGCTGTATACGTCCCCTTTTGTTGTCGCCACCATTGACTGCCCATACTCGGGAGGAATATAACCTAATGTGCCAGAGAGAATGGTGCTGTAATGGCTCTCATAATCACTTATTATTCTGGCCAGTCCAAAGTCTGAGACTTTGGGCTCAAAGTTGTGATCTAGTAGTATGTTGCTGGACTTAATGTCCCTGTGAATGATGTGAGGCACAAACCCATGATGCAGAAAGGCAATGCCCTGGGCAGTCGCCAAACAGATCTTGAAGCGGGTGGGCCAATCTAGGGCTTCCACCCCAGGATCTCGGTTCCACAACCACTCATCAAGACTCCCGTTCTCCATGTATTCATATACTAAAAACCTTTCCTCAGCAAAGACACAGTACCCAACTAATGGAACCAAGTTTCTGTGTTGAACCTTTCCAATAGTCTCCAACTCAGCTAGAAACTGTCGATCATCTTGAAAGTGTCCTTTATCAAGCCGCTTGATAGCCATAGTTCGCCGGCTTCGCCCCTCCAGAAGGGATGCCTTATACACTGTACCGACACCGCCAGCACCAATTCTATGTGTCTTGCTGAAATTTTCAGTGGCCGATAATATTTCTCCATGATCAAAGCGGGTGAGAGAAAGGCCAAATGTACCAAGATTAATGCTTAATGGCTCATTGATACCTCGCTCAACCGTTGTTACAAGTCCAACCCTTCCACTGTCAAGAAGTGACGCATTTCGCTTCAATATCCATTGTTTACCCAGATAGATGACTAGAACAACAAGGACAAAGACTATAGCCCCAATCATGGCATCCCAAACACGGGTCTTATTTGGTCGATGGGCAGAAGCTAAGCATGATCCAGTATGCTCAGTGCAAGACTTGGGCACAAATCCCAGGAATTTGTTGGCAGAGAGATTGATGAAGGAGAGACCTTCAATGCCACAGATGGTGCATGGAACATAGCTTTCAAAATTGTTACTAGAAAGATCTAGATATGTCAAAGAAGCAAGGTTTGATATTGAGGGTGGAAGGTTTCCTGTCAAAGCATTGCTGTGCAGGTCAAGATAGGAGAGGGCAGTTAGGTTTGAAAGAGAGTCACAAAGGGGGCCAGAAAATTGGTTACTGCTAGCATTTAGATGAACAAGCGAACTGGGAGATGCAAAGTGACAAGGTATGGTCCCCGAAAGAGAATTTGCACTGATATCCAGGTAGAACAGTCTTTCAATGCTGAGCACGGATGGCGGCAGTGAACCACTGAGAAAATTCCATGATATATCCAGCTCAGCTAAACGAGGCATTAATGAGGCCATGTTATCAGGAATAGCACCAGAAAGCATATTGTGGGAAATAATAAGGCCCTGAAGACTCTTCAACGTGAAATTTTTGGGTATGGCTGGACCAGCTAAATGATTGGAAGACAAATTCAGGGTGGTCATGTAGGAAAGACCAAATAACTCAACAGGAATGATGCCATTTAGCTCATTGTTGTTTAATAACAGTTCCCTGATTATAAAGCAGTGACCAATTGATGCAGGAATTGGACCCGCAAACTTGTTGTGGGAGAGATCAAGCATACCATAATGCTGAGTGTACCCGGAATCTGGCAAGGGCATCTCTTGGAATCCAGAGCATATCTCTTCAGGTATGAGACCAGAGAAGTTATTCCAGGATAATACCAAATTATCCAGCAATTTCAATCTTGAAATGGACTTTGGAATATGACCAATAAGGTTGTTTGAACCAAGATCCAAGGATAATAGGCCTGTACAGTTGAAAAGTTCCTTAGGGATCTCTCCTGTCAACTGGTTATCGCGCAGAGAAAGGTTGGTGAGGTTCCTCAACTCACCAATGGAAGCTGGGATGGTCCCTTTAAAAAAATTATCACCTAATTCCAGTCTCTGCAATGTCTGAACCTTAGCTAGAGCTGGAGAAATCTTTCCAGAAAGAAAGTTATTATCAAGAGCTATTGCCTCAAGAGATTTCGACTCCCATAGCTGATCAGGAATCTTTCCATGAAATCTGTTTTTTGACAATACTAGGGTGGTCAGAGGGAGATTACCTAAGTAATCAGGTAACTCACCAGAAAGATTGTTTCCAAACAATATTAATTCTGTCAGGCCACCACAGTTCCTGAAGGTCTTCTCAATGCTTCCAGTGAAGTTATTGTTTGCCAATGACAAATTTTCTATCGACTTCACATTCCATATTTCTGAAGACAACTCACCAGAAAGCATGTTAGAACTCATGTCGAGCGATCTTAGATTCTGCAGATTGAGTGACGGCATAGACCCTGTGAAGAGGTTATCAGCCATCGTTATAGATTCCACTTGCTTCCAGTTTGAAATCCAACTAGGGATCATCCCTGTTAAGCGGTTGGAAATAAGCTTCAGAGTTTTAATTGATTCCATCCCCGCAAGACCATCTGGCAAAGGACCAGAGAAAGAGTTGCGGGAAAGGTCTAAAACCTCAAGGCTCTTACAGTTGCCCAGCTGTCCAAGGATGCTCCCACTCAACCCAGCATTTGCAGCGAGCAAGCTCCATAAATGGGTCATATTTCCAATGTTTGCTGGCAACTCTCCCACAAACGAGTTTTGTCCAATATCCAAGCAAGCCAAGTTAGATAGTTCAGTTAATTTATGGGGTATGGCACCTGTAAGCTTGCATTTGTTGACTTTGAGCTCACGAAGCGCCCTGAGTTTGCCAATAGAGGATGGAATTACTCCACTGATGCTGTTGTTCACCAAGTTTATTGAAGTTAGGTTCTTCAGTTTCCCTATATTCTTTGGTATGGGTCCACTTATGGAGTTTGTAGAGAGATCAATCTTCTTAAGGCTTGTTAACTTTTCAAACCCAGAAAAGATAGGACCACTAAAGTCGTTGCAATTAGCATCAAAGAATAAGAGACTAGCAAGGTCACCCAAACTTGAAGGGAGGGCACCAGAGAAAGAGTTTTTACTAAGATCAAGAGACTCCAATTTCGAAAGGTTTCCAAGTTCTGGAGGAAGATTCCCAGAGAAAAGATTGGTACTAACCGACAGCTCAATAAGATCACTTAAAAGGCCAATAGTCGAAGGCAAGTGACTAGAAAAGTTGTTATCATCAAGTACAAGATACCTGAGACTTTTCAGGCTGGACACTGTTGAAGGCAGAGTTCCAGACAGTTTATTGTGACTCAGGTCCAGAATCTGGAGCTCCTCAAGGCTCCATATATTTGCAGGAATGACACCCACCAACCCACACTGACTGAGATTAAGAAACTTCAGATGTTTTAGCTCCCCTATGCTACTAGGAATTGGAAGCTTTAGCGCTGAAGAGCTACAAGGTAGCTTAAGCCCAAGAACAACTTTCGATCCTCCACATTCCACACCTTTCAAGTTGCAGACGGGTGTATCCGTGTTAAACCAGCTAGGAATTGTATTTTTTCTTCGGATTAGGCTCTTTCTTAGAGAAAAGACCATCTCTATATCACTTGAAGCAGTGGTCACACAGATCATACCCAACATTAAAAGAACTAAACTCGGATTCATCATGCTATACACACTCATGGCTCGTAAGCTCGTTTGCACAAATTGTCAACCCTGCGTACGTGGGAAAAAAAAAATAAAAAATAAAAAATTAGAGCTTTAATAGCTACTTCATTAATTCCATAATTACCTGTGACATGTTTTTGTTTACATACCTCTCTTTTTACTACTAAAAATCTATAATAAGTTTTGTACTAAAATCTTCTCTCATTAGAAATCTATTTTTCCACTTACTACTACCGCAATTACCTTTTCAATAAAATAAGTATTGATAACTCACTTATAAGATATGGCCCTAAAAACACGTGCAATGGTGATTGTCAAGACTCAAGAGTTATTTTTTGGGACGGAGGGAGTAGTTGTAATGAAACAAATTCATTAACCAATTACCCAAAAAAGTTTTTTAAAAAAATCGGTAGTAATGTCTAATTTTGATTTTATTATATTATACACAATAATAACAAAAATACTCCTAAAGCAAAGATTGAGATACAATGTTATATTCACTGCAAGAATAATTGAAGGCATACATGTAATCAAACACAAAAAATGAAAAACTACAGTTGATAACAACAAATAATACGTAGCAAGAAACTTCAGGAATATCAGAAATGGCGACATGGTGAATTATACCAACAATAAGATAAACAGCAACAACACGCAACAACAACAACAACAATGAGGCGGCAACGACACAACAACAACAACAACAACAACAACAACAACAACAACAACAACAACAAGAGAAACAGAAGGGAGATAACCTTGTTTGAGGTGAATTAGGGGTTAAAATGAGTATTAATGTACGAGTAAAATGCTGTGTTTTTGTGTGACTGTTTCTCACTCAAAAATCAGATTAATTTTGATAAGTTTTCTCTCACTAAAAATGGGTGATAATCATCTGTATCTGCACACAACATATAAGGTAACAGAGTTGAGGAGCAGAGTACGACCGTACGAAGTAGTACTGCCTACTCACTCAATCACATTTTTGTCATTGGTTGGGGTGTTTGGGGTTGGGGCCCACTACGACAGTTAATCTTCATAGTCAGAGAATCAACATTAAGGTCATGGAATACTTGACTCCCTTTCTTTCTCTCTCCTATTTTATATTAAAACAAAAAATAAATATTTGGGTTGAATTTTTGCATTAGGAGAGTATTATTCCATGATTTTTCTTTCTATGTTTTGATGTAAATTATAACTAGGAGTTAATGAAGTTATGATTTGTTTCCTTTGAATTTGGTCTAATAATTTGTTGAAAAATGGGTCTATAATTATTAAATTCGGAGTATCTTACCGAACAATAGAAAATTAGTTTGAACGTGTATTTATTCGTATATTACAATATCTACTGTACTGTTTTTATTTTGTCACTCGTGCACAAAAGCTGTTTATTCCGTATTTAACTTTAGATTTAGATGAGATGTACTTTGATATACTCCGTACATTTATATAGGTCATTGTTGATTTTATACATGTCATATTCTCATTAAAGAATTTCACGTCTAAACTACTAATGACATCTTTTTTTTTCTTCCAAGTTTCAAGACAACAATTGAACAAAAAACATGAAATTGTGACTACACATCCCAATTAAAGACTTAAAAAGTGCTCGCAAAGTTATTAAAATCGGGATTCTACTTTGAATCAGAAGGGGTTCTCAGAATCAAATCGTATAATCGTAAGATTCTATCGACATGCATAATCAAGACGACATATTCAAATTTAATTAAATATATTATAATTATGAGTTTGAAACCTAATTATTAATAGAAAATAGTTGTTTACTCATTAAGCAACCAATAATTGACAATATATAGTTATAAATAACTACATAGGCATGTTTTAAACTTGTAAGGATTTCGCTAGTTAAGAGAAATATATAAAATCGGCTAGAATCGTAAATCGAATTGTATGACATACATGAATCGTAAAATCGTAAGATTCTAAGATTTAAATTGGGATTTTAATAACAATGAACTCGTATTTAAAAAAAAAAAGAAAAAAATCGTGCAACGCATAAGGCAAACCATGGTTATACTGTAGTGTTGACTTCTTAATTCTCTTCAATGTTTTCTCAATCGACTCAAAAGAATATGATTCACACCTGAAATTAATTTTACTCAATCCAAACACAAAAAGACGTCCCAATAAAACCATTGTTTTGTACAAAACCAAAACAAAATTAATGCCATCAACGTAACTATCGCTTCACCGAAATCATAAAATAGTATAATCCGAACAACTTATACAACCAATGCAGTTTGTTTCCTTTAGACTTTGTAACGAAGTTCTCTTTGTCAAACAGCAGCAGCAACAACAACAACAACAACAACACCAAAAAACAAAAAACTCACATAACACTTCCGAACTATCAACTATGAAGGTCAAATCGAGTTAAGACTTACATGAGTAAAATCATAATCACAACTTGTTAAGCAAAGTTACTAAACAATCTTGAAAACCATTTCTCAGCTTTTGGAGGGCTTTAGAGTTCATCAAATTTAGTTTAAGAGACGCTAAAGTTCACTGACATTCTATTACTTTTCTTCTTCCCTTTAAACTCTACTCCAAAATTTCGCAACAATGGTGGTTTCCATTGAAGATAATCAGGTAAAATCGCTACAATTTTAGCTCATTTCTATCTTGTAATTTTCTGGGTTCAATTTTCTTACCCATAATCTGATGAACTCCAATTTTCTTGGATCCATTTATTTGAATTCCCTTGAACTGGTCATGAAGAATTAACCTGTACTCCTCTGTTTTCTTGCTCATTTTATTACTAAAATTACTATTTCAGAAAGAAATTGGTAAGTTAAAAACAGTACATAAGAATCCTTTTTAAAGTTTCTTTGAATTTGTTGTTCTAATGATGTATGTACTTTTATCAAACAGTTGGTGGGCAAATATAAGTTATATTTGAATGTGGGTTTTTCTTGGGTGTTTGAAATCAACATTGTTTATGTAATTAACTGCTTGTTATAAATCTTGTTTCATGTTTTAATGGGTTTTTACTAACTTTGATCTTTGTTAAATTGCAGCCGTCTTCTTCAAATAATGTAGGTGGGAGTGATGATTGTTTCTTGGTTGTGGAATTGTCTGAAGATGACCCTTTGTTTGAAAAGAAGCTTGTGAGTTATTTATTAATTTTTTTTTTCCAAAATTTGAATTGAAAAATTAAGCATTGGATTTACAAAATAGGAAGAATTTGTGTGATTCATTTCTCTATTTTAGTGTTATAGTTTTCACCTTTTTCGGCTTTTGGCTATTTGGATTAGTTGCTGACTTGTTACAGTTGATTTGATAATTCATCTGTTAAGTTACTAGGTAAAACTGGTATGATTTAGGAGGACTAGGAACTGTGTTATGACTCCAGGGCTCGACCAGTTTGATCCATGATCATATTAATGATTGTTAATGACCTAGTTTTAATGCATTACTTTCTGGATGCGATCATTTGACGGAATTGTTTCTTGGAATGTCATTGACTGGTGTTGTTATTTGTAGTAATCATGTTATAGGGAGTTTTTAGGGTTTTAAATGGAGTGAGACGTTTTAGAAGCAATGAAGTCAGAGCACTTTGAATTGTTTTTACTTGATAGTGTTTTGAGTTGGCTTATCCTTATGTACTTATCAAGGTTTTTTGGTTTAAGGGAGTGATCATTACTTTCTGGATGTGATCATTTGACGGAATTGTTTCTTGGAATGTCATTGACTGGTGTTGTTATTTGTAGTAATCATGTTATAGGGAGTTTTTAGGGTTTTAAATGGAGTGAGACGTTTTTAGAAGCAATGAAGTCAGAGCACTTTGAATTGTTTTTACTTGATAGTGTTTGAGTTGGCTTATCCTTATGTACTTATCAAGGTTTTTTGGTTTAAGGCTTGCGAGATGCCTGAAGACAGTTCTTTGTGCTTAATTCATGAATAAATTAAACATGTTTATCTGGATTATTGTGCTAACTTATGGGGTCTCTTTTTTATTACAGAAATTGCTTAAAGATAAGGGATTTGGTCCAAGTGACAGTGTATACCTGCAGAAGACTTTAGTTCCTCATAGTCTGAGAGTCAAGTTGGATGCCTTGCTTGAGAGAGCTCGGATAATCCACTTGAATGAGGTAAGTGGTTTATTGGTTAAAATTATTAAGTATATACATCTAAACTCGGCTGTAGACTATAAATGGCTCTGTCAATAGTTCCTTTCAATTCAGCATGAAAGCTAAAGTATCCACTCTATGTTATATTCATATTGTCCATCCAGTACTTTGTATGTTTGCTCTAGTACAGGATGATAAAGCTCATCAGAATGCTTAAATATTCTGGAACTCATGGTATCGGTAATGCTGAAAAGCTAACTTTTTTGTGGTGCAGACGGAGCTTTATTTTGGTGCTAGTGCTTTAGATGAGGGTATAACAGAAGAATTTTACAGTCCTCGGAATGAGTTAGAGGCTCTCAATTGTGTCCTCTCTCTAGTTGATCATTATAGTGGGAAAAGTGATGTGACTAATGCTTCACTGAAAGCTCTACGAGTTGCAATTATCTCAAGAATTTGCAATTTTGGGAACAAAAATAAATTGGAAACAGAGATTGTAAAGGAAGCATGTAACAGTGAGAAGCATCTTATGAGTTGGGCTGAAAGCCATGGTCTCATATCTAAGCTGCAGATAGCTTGTATGTCAGGAATGCTCTAATTTAAACTTGTTCAAATCAGAGGTATTTATTAGGAAAGTTGCTTACAATCCTTTCCTGTGCTGATGTTTACATTTTGTGACAACCTAGATGTTGAAGGAGCTGGGAGAGGAGTACTGGCAACAGAAGACCTTGGGGTTGGAGACATAGCTCTGGAGATACCTATTTCTGTTATTATCTCAGAAGACCTTGTCTATGAATCTGACATGGTATGCTTCATTTGGCAAAAGGATTACATATGCATAAACTATATACATCAATACATGTACTATGACTCAAAGTGCTCCATCCTTCAGCACCTTCCGAATTACGTGATTTCCCAAACAGTTGGATACATTATGTTGTTATATTTATGAGGGAAAATAATAATAATAACTTTGTATTCCTTTTCTAATCAGATTCATATTTTGGAAAAGATAGATGGCATTTCCGCTGAAACTATGTTGTTGTTGTGGAGTATGAGGGAGAGGCACAACATTGACTCGAAGTACAAATTCTACTTTGATGCACTTCCCGAACAGTTTAATACTGGTTTGTCCTGCTGCCTAACTCTTTTCTTAAATGTTTTAAGCTTTACATTTATCCCATTCATTATGATCACCTGGAAGCTAAATGATTAGCATCTAGGAGATTACTTCTTAAGAATTTATCTCCTATGCTCTACCAGCTTTATCTTGTCTAACTGATCCCCCGAATCTTAACAAAAAGTTCTCACACTATTTATAGTGATCTCATTAAATCCATATGTATTCTTTCAAATAGGATTGAGCTTTGGTGTGGAGGCGACGATAACTTTGGATGGAACCTTGGCCTTAGAAGAGATATTACAAGCGAAGCAGGTTGTCTAAAACGTTTTTTTTGTTTATCAAAATGTAGTTAATAGTATTTCTGCTTTGTTGTGGTAAAGGAGTTCGTGGAACTAATGTGGACAATGGAGTAGATAATTACTCTCTCTTTGGAAGTAAAATGTATAGTAACACTAATATACATTTTGGTTAAAGGAATTCCTGGTACTGATATAAAATCTCTTTGGATTTATAATTTGTAGCAACTCATTTTTTTGCATATTTGGACATTGATTTGCTTACTGTCCGTGAAAAATAAGAATACTAGAATTGTATTAAAGAATATCCCAGGTCTATAAATTTGAAGGGTTCTTGTATTTTCATTACAATGTGTATTATATGACTACTATGCCCTGCAGCATTGCTTCACCATTGTTGACACTTGCTTTTTTCAGAGTTCAGATGTTGACCACACCAAACTAAATAATTCTTTTCTCACGAAGATAATGTCCTTGGAGAACTTTTTACTTAAAGAGTTATTTATTGAGTAGGATTTGACCAATTGTGTGGTTGTATAATTGGAGTAGGGAAAGAAAAATGGGTGAATGTGCATCTATTAACGAATGAGGGGACATAATTGGGACAAGGAAAATAAAGAGACATTTATCTTTAAGATGGTGAGAGTATTATTACTGCTTTTTCTATACTTTTACTATTTTACCAGCTGCTTACATATCTGTCTATATGTTCGTTGCAGCATTTGCGTTCTGAATATGATAAGTTGTTTCCTGCTCTCTCTGTGAGTTTTCCTGGTTTATTCTCACCAGAGTTCTACACATGGGAGCAGTACCTATGGGCATGTGAGCTATGGTACTCCAATTCCATGAAAATTATGTTTCCTGATGGAAAGCTGAAGACATGTTTGATCCCTGTTGCAGGTTTCCTAAACCACTCTGTATGTTCACTTTTCTTCTCACTCTCTTGTTTTGTTGTACAAGTATTAATTTAGAAAGAATTTCAGAAAATTGGTTTCCAGCTTTTCACACGGCTAAATCATAGTCTTAGTTACTCTTAGTTATAACCCAGTTACATCCTCAAATTGCAGAAAGACTAGAAACTAGAAGAAAATCCCATCCACTCATACACTCACCTTGCTAGTAACCCTGTCTAAAATTCGTCTTTTTTTTTTTTTTTTTTTTGCACAAGGTCTCCCCTTGTATAATTTTGGGCAATTCAGTTAGCTAGAGTGATGTGTATTTATCATTTTGTTGACGTATTCCAATTTTCAGATTGACCTTCAATAATTTATTAATCAATGCTCCAAATTAAGGATGTTGAAATACCCATCTATGAATTATTGTTGGATCAACTATCTGAGCTTCTGATATCAATAAGAAGTTTACCTTATCTTTCTTGGATAAACTCCCTTAATTAATGACCAGAAAGCAGCATATCTATCTTGGGATTCCTCTTTATCGCTTCCATGTGAGTCACGGGCTCACAGCCAATCTCGTTCTGAATGTCAGTAAATATGATCTTGTTTGTCTGCAGGTTTGCCCACATATTCTGCATTATGGAAAAGTAGACTCGGTGACAAACACACTCAAATTTCCTCTCTCAAGACCGTGCAATAGGGGCGAGCAATGCTATCTGAGCTATGGAAATCTATCTAGTTCTCATCTGCTCACCTTCTATGGGTTTGTACCACAAGAACTGAACCCTTGTGTGATATTATCCCGCTTGGTGAGTTTTGCATATATTTTACAATAAATGTAGTCAAAGCTCTTTTCTGATTATTCAGAGCTATTATCATCTCCGTTGGATTGATATCAGATTTTTCTAGAATTTTTTATTGATATTGAATTCGTTGTAGATATTGAAGCAGGCCCAGACTGCTCTTCTGAGGAAGGCTGTCAAGATTCTACCACACACATGGTTCGGGGTACTTGGCTTTCAGTTTTAACCAGCCAAGGCCTCTTTTACTATGGACTGCCATCACCACTTTTAGAGCATCTACGGAATGCTGTGAATCCTGGCTTGCATACTATGACACTGGTATGCCTTGCTTTTGTCTGACTTTGAACATCATAAGGTCACCTACTTAGCTAATACTTCGTATGAATTAATGCCACAAGCCCACAACCTCAGACATTTTTATTAGGAAGTGTATTGTTAGAATTCAGATGGTATTCAAGCAATGAAGCTGGGTGATTGTGCAGTAGCTTTACCCTATTATTAACTGTGGTGAATTTTTCTGTTCATCACGAGGGTGTTTTGGGTATCCTGAGGATGATATTGGGGAATTAAGTAGGGAAGTCTTGGGTTCATCGAGACTGTGATGGACAAAATTTGTTTGTGTTGCTTAAGGCTGTCTTGAATCATGATTTCACATTTGGAAGCTCATACCCACTTTTTTGCTTATTATTGTATCAGTTGCAAGAAAGCTTGGAAACTGAGATGATGGTTCTTGATGACCTTTATGCGATTTTTGATGGCATGATGAAAAGACTTGATGACTCAGTGCTGGAAGACAGGTTAGTTACCGAAGAAACTATTTAATGCACATGTTTAAACACTAAGATGTTGAACCTAAAGCTGATGTTTTTGCATTTTGCAAGGTTAAGTGAGAAGTGGGATGTACAATTAGCAATACAGTACAAAGATTTGCAGAGAAACATTGTTTCTTCTATATTGACTGCCTGTCAAGCTGGACGGAAAATGGTGACACATGAACTCAAGAGATGCATGGATGAGGACATTGATGGCTAGCTGTAGCTTCAGGTAGAACGAGTGCTCCTGCTGTTTTTCTGCTTATCATCAGTGTGAATTTCAGCTTCCCTTGGACCCATATACTCGCCCTGTATGTCCGTTTTTGTTTGTAATTTTAGCATAAGTAGCAAAGATAGTATACCTAGGTAAAGGCACTGTAAGATTGTAAGTTCGTAACCCATGGTCAAAATTTGCCCTTCACCAATTTTGTTCTGGACCTTCCTCATTTGAGGCATATAATCTGGTATAAGTGTATTGTGTATTACTGAAAGAGTGAAAACAGATTAGTTCTGAATACCAAGAAATTTACTTTGAAATGTCTACTGTGAGTCAATTTCTACTACTATTTACAACCCTTTTTTTTTTTTTTTTTTTTTTTTTTTTGGTTTAAGTGCAACTCCAATGGTTGTAGGTAGGGACTTGCTTGCAATTTTCAAAAGTTTCTAGCTACTAGCTTGACCATTGGAGCTAAAAAATACAGTTAGCTTGGCCAAGCAAATTTGCTTGAGAAAAAGTTTTCAAAATTTTAGGAGATTAATATATTAAAATAATTAAATTTATAAAGCTAATTGAGAAAGTCAAACTTATTAATTAGCAAGCTAGTAGCCAACCATTGGGACACAAATATAGCTACAAAAAGAATTTAGCTTGAAATCATATGTGGCATGACAAGCTAATTTAACAATTAGCTTACGGAGATGCTCTAAGTAAGTAGTTTTATTGCTCAAAAAACATCAGTTACAACCACTCCCAATGTACTATTTTTCATTGGTTGTTCTTTTTTCTTATTTACATGTAACGTGACCACTGTATTTGTTAACTGATAATGATTTTTTTTTTGGCAAATTTTACATAAATTTACAGTAATTAATTTATTTTATGTTATTTTAATTTGTTTACAGTGGTGATTTCTGACATTAGGGATACAGAGTCAGAGTTTACTTTGTAGGTGAGTTTTACTTGCAAGGGTAACAAACTACAAATAGAGAGTTTCATGAGTTATTAATAACCACCATCAAATTCTTTTTTTACTTTTTATATGCAAGATATGAGCCAAATTTGTCAGAGGATCATGTACCCAAATAATAGAAATTGATTTTGCTAGTTACTTTCTCCTCTTTTTTTTCAAGGTTGGTTCAAGTAATGTGGATGATATTGCCTAACAGTGTTTATTGTCAACAATTAGTAATGAATGTTATGTCCAAATATCGTAAAAGTCCACCTCAATAGAAAATGTCCATCATGATCATATTTATCAATTAGAAAAATGTGAGGTTATAGGAGATGGAGGGCAACCTCCATCTCCCCCCCAAGTGGTTGGGGGTTTGATCCTCATTCCCCCGTGGAGGGACCCCCTCAGTATCTTACCGTATAAAAAAAAATCAATTAGAAAAATGTTTTAAAATTCTTTATTACAAGACTTTGCCATAGAATTATAGAAAAGTGATACTAGATTTATTCTACTTTATAAACCCAACTATAAGTTAAAGGGAATTCCGGGGAAGGAGATTTCGATAACCTAGTTGCTAAAGGAATTAAGGGAAGTTGGTGCATTATTTCAAAGATGCACGATTTTAAAGGTTCATAGGGATCAGGTTCAAAGGGCGAATGATATTGCTTGAAATTGTCGAGTCCAATTAACTAATTGGACGTAGTTTTCCTTTTCCTCATTTTCTATTGTCAAAAAAAAAAAAAAAAAAACAAACAAAAACTATAAGTTGGTTGTTTAGAATGAAAATCTCAAAATATTTTGTAGGGCATTATTGATTTGGATTTTCCTAAGGGGTCACTTTTGAGAAAGAATGGTCTAGTAAGTTCCTTTTATTTGTACTTTTTCAAATGAAATTAAAAAAATAGACTAGATGAAATGTACGGAGTAATGTTTATTTGTTTCAATAGTTGATATATACTTTATATAAAAGGAAAATTGGCTTAAAATAATCCCAATTATTAATCCGTCCATATTCATTATTATATTATTTTTATTATAATTTTTTTATATTAAAGTATTTTTTTTTCCCGATACATTTTAGGCTAATAATTTCATCCTATCCAAAATAATAATGCCTTGCCCCTTTGTTAGGCTAGTAAATTAATTTCAGTAAAGAAATAAATTTTTACTATCAAACAAAAGTAAATAGGGTATTTAAATGCATTATACTGATAATAATTAGTTTCAAAAAATGTTTTAAAAACCAAAATTAACATGATATTTTCTTTGTTTTTTATGCTTACAACACACCTTTTTGACATGCTAAGCTATTAGAAAAAGTGATGTAAGTGGACAAATTACGCTATAAATTTAAATCGTACCAACTTAACACGTACACTTTTTTTTTTTTTTTTTTTTTTTAACATAACACTTTCTTCTTATTGGTTGTAAAATTTTGTTAATTAATTTGTCCGATTATCTAGTCTAATATCTCTCTTAAAGTGTGTATCATGCCAAAGTAGTTTGTTATTGTAAATAGAAATGTAGGAATTATGTATTTTGAAAAAATAAGTTAATAAATGATATGAAAATAATTTAATTATGAATATGGGCGAAATTTCGAGATACCTTTTCCGATGGCTGGCATACCATTTTGCACATATACTATAAAAAGTGGTACTGCGGAAAGCAAATAAATGAGGTCGTATTATTTTCGACCCACTGCTAATAGTTGGGATTATTTTAAGCCAATTTTCCATTAATAAAAGTTGGTGAAAATAGCTTATCAATGATTGCGATATACTTCTGGGATTTTTTTTTTTTTTTTGACATAGATAAATAGTAATCATAAATGATTTATATTTTAGATTGCTTAACAAAGCCAGTGAACTCATCTTGATTGAATATCTTAAATTTTTTTCCTAGATATAAATTTGATTGCTAAGAATTTGATGACTTGTGCTACATTTTCTTATTTGGGTATACCACATATTTTTCTAGTATTTCTAAATATATGCGACTCTTATTGAAAAAGCTTGAAATAATCCCTGGATAGACTGATGATCACAATAAATTGAATTACGGCCAATACAGTATAAAGATCATGATTACTCTTTATTTACATAATAAGCAACAATAGACATGATTAGATACATTAGTGTGACCCTTATTTGATCATCCAATCCGAAATCGAAATTTATTTGCAAATTACATGTTTCAACTTTAACCTCAAGCCTAAACCAATTCCAAAAAAACTCAAATAAATTACTAATATTAATTGATTTATCGTGATATCAATCCAAATAGACTCAAATTTTGTTTATTTGTTATCACTTCTATGTTTAGTAAAAAATAAAGGAAGAATTAGCATATTTTTTGACTAAATCTTACCATTCATCAAAAGAACTTTGTATCTAGTTTCTTCTAAGCATCAACCAATTGAGTGGATTATTTCTTCTTAATATACTGACTTTTGACTTTCATTGCTTGATTCTCTTTTAATTTTTATATACTCTAATTATCCCATACAAAAACACTACTTGCACTAAAAATTCTGTTGTACTAACCATTGTTGGTAACCATTCTTTTCATATAGTGCAATATGTACAACATATAGTATACTTTGCATGATACATTCCGGATATCACCTCACCTGTAGAGGTGTCATCAAAAACACACCCGATGCGACCCGACCTCATCAGACCTGATCCGATCATCCGAATTGACACCTCTACTCACCCGTACTATTGAAACATAGACGTGACATTGGTTATGCACCCAAGCCATAAGTAACCTATAATCTCGTTAACTCCGTCGTAAAAAACTAAACGGCTAAAACCAAAGAAAAATAATATTTCAAGATTACAACTAGAGCTAACTACATACTTTCCTAAATAACCCATTCTTTTTAATTTTCTTTTAATGTTTTTGAGGTCTTGAATTTGACAATAAATAAATTTGTTAGAAAACCTAAACAAAAAAAAAAAAAAAAAAAAAAAAAAAAAGGTCAATTGTGGATATAAAAGAAAAAAGAAACTTTGAACAATTTGCAGCTGATCACGTCAACCCACAAAAATTTGTTGTAGGTGTTAAAAGGTTCGATGGGAAAAGTTTTCATGCACAAAGGGACCAACTTTTACAAATAAAGGGATCAAATCTATTCTAAATTTCTTCAATTCATAATCTTCGTATCCATAATGGGACCTTATAACATATTAAAGGTTTTATAAGTTTAGCAAAATTAACTTTTGAATTGCACATTAGTCATTTTAATATCTTATTGGCTTTATCGAAAAGTTTAGTTGACATCTACAAAATATATATACATTATGAATACAATTTACTTGAATATATGTATATCAACCAGTTGTAGATAAGCATGACTTCAAGGTAATGCAACCAATCGTACTTTGGGATGGAGTTTTAATTTCTTTAATTTCTTCCCTTACTCTTAATGTGTCTTGCATGCAACGCCATGAAATCGAAAGGTCAATTATGTATGATTTCTTTCTTTGTGGACTAGATCCTTACTTGCCCTATTAGTTAGGATTTATATTTTGCACGGGTGTGACGATTGCCTAGTACAAGGCTTTCATCCCTAGTAGAAGTCTACAATGGTTTTAATTTGTAGTTTTGCATAGTTACCTCTATAGATGTTCTCTTTCTTCAATCTTGTCACACTACAAACTTCTTGAGAACTTTATATTGCTCTTTTTTCAACTATAATCTAATTTGATTTGCACATCGTAGTCTTGCCTGTCAGTTTAAAAGACACCAAATTTCATTCATTAGGTGGTTTGACTACTTGTCTACTCTGCTAATGACTTGGTGTCATGTAAAGATATAAAAGTACATATACAACATATAGGTCGAAATGTCGAATAGCATGATGCCATTATAATTCGTAACTTTTAATTTGACACAAATAGGAGTAAAACATCATTGTTAATATATAACTCACAATATATATAATATGTACAAAGATGATTTATATGATCTCTGCCATCAATTTAGAGACAAAATTAATACTTCGTAGTACTTTTTAATTAAAAAAAAAAAAAAAAAGGCCATGAACTAATTTTTTGTGTGGGTTGTTTAACTTCCATCACATAAATTGCACGGTCCTCTTCAATCGACAAGTTTATAATACAAATACTTTGTACTTACGTTGAACATAACATCATCTTAATATTTGCTCTAATTTTTATATATGAGTAGCTTAATATAGTGATTATGCAGCTAATTAGACAAAGAGTGATTCTCCATCTAGTTCAATGAACTGTTGATATGCAAATGGGTTTATTTTAAGGTTTAAGTGATCCATGAAGTATAATTTGATGGTGAAGACATCCATTCTAGAAGCTAAGAATCTGTAACCATTGTAAGTTTGACATTTTCAGTAAGATAATCAAATATTCTAAAGTAGACAATAGTAATAAATTTATATGAAAAAACAAGATACCTAATATTTTCTGAAATTTTAAGGCACCAATTAATATTCAATGTACTTTGTAAAAGATTATTCTAGTTATAAATTATAAGGTCTTAGGAATATGATTTTGATAGACGACTTTGCCTTGGATTTTAATACAATTTGTATGATCAACTTTGTCACTTTCCAGTGAACTTTTCCACTTTCAAGTTTTAAGTAACACTTTGAATTCAATCAACAATTTCCATTTAGTTAATCACAAGAAATTGTTCCATCTAATTTCAATCATGTACCTTGCACTGTCATCATAATTTTTCTCACTTTTTATGTTGCGGACAATTTGATTTTTTGAAACTCAATTTTTTGATATATACTAGGTTATTAGAATTCTTATAAATAGAGTTGACAATCTCTTACTTGATTATTCGAATTAATTAAGGTGTGATATAACCTTTTGTTAGGGAACTCAGTAATCTCAAGCCTACTAAACTAGGACTAACTTGGATTTGAGATACGTTCGACCTCAATTAGAAGAATACTTACCCAACAATGATATACACTCTCAAGGCCAGGTCTGAGCCAGGTATTTCTAGTCAAGCTGGACAACTTCTTTATTAACTGATCCTAACATTTGTTGGTTGAACTTCATACAACCACTTTAGTAACAAAACAAAATATTTTATTTACTTTACCCAACTCGTAGTCGACCAACTAATATCCATCTCATTTGTAATATTTGATACATAAATCATGCATTGAGAACCAATGAAACGGAAATAAGTTATTGGGCATTTCATACACTAAATTTAAATATCTCGACTTTTCATTTAGATATAAGTTTTTGAAATTTTCTTATAAGTAGTTGGACATACATATCAGTTTTTAAATTAAATGAACATATGAACGAACGTAACCAATACTTCGACTTCAAACCTGAATCCTACTCATTGATCCCACCCACCAGCTAAGTTGGAAGATTTGTTCCACTGTTTAGTACTCATATAAAAGGGAAGGGAAAGTAAAGATGAATACATCCTACATTTATACATGTGGAAATGTAAGATGCACATTATAGTATTAAGAGTACCAAACCAACTCCACTAGGATGTGGCAAATTGTAAAAGAAAGAAAGTTAGGATGTCCTACCTCAACACTTGTTCTGGTATAACGTATAGTTTTAAGTCAGCCAAATAAATAGCTCTATTTTGGACTAATTAGCCAACACATGCAAACTAGATAGCCAACTTTTTAAGTTATCCAATATCCATCCAGCTCAATCTTTGATTATAATCTTAGGCTAATATATTGTCATTTGGCTTTATTTGCTTCCTTTTTTTTTTTTTTAATACAAGTATATAATTAATAGAACTACTATTTATGGGTCCATTCTATTCTTAATTAATTTAGCACTTAAGTATGCTAAGCTCACAAAAGAAAACAAATTACACACATACTCCAAGAATTATACTATTCACTTAATTAACCATTTAGATAATAGAAGTGCATAATTTATATATGATTAATATGTCAAGCTTGGTAGAGCATCATACTTCCAACAGTAGTGGTGGCATGACACATATTATTCCATTGGAATAAAGGTTGTTATTGTTTATTATGTGAGGTCAGTTTATGCCCCCCATAAAAAACATGTACTAATATTTTTTAACCAAAAAAAATAAAAAAATTGGTAAAGATAGAGGTTATTCTATATTGAGTATATTATTAGCTTCCGAAGTTTCGAGCTCGAATTCATCACGTCATCATTTTACACCTCACGATTCACGACTTGGTTTTTACTATCAATGTATTTAAATTTTTTCAAGTAACTAAGGTAATTTTTTCCTTAATTATATGAAATTTTCGTCTTGCATCTGATGTAAAATCTCATTACATGAAGTGCATTAAACTTAAGTAATTCTTTTTTTTTTTTTTTTTCCCCTAAGAAATTAACTTGATAGGTTCAAATTATAGACTATAAAAACATGACTATTATTGACAATTACAATTAATTATTCCACAAATTGTGAATTAAAATAATAATTTACTGTAACAATAAGATACGAGTAATCTTTAGGCATTTTATTCAGGGGTTGATTAAGAAGAAATAATGGGTATAAAGATTAAGATGATATATGCAAAATGACAAAATAGGGATTAACATCACTTTATATAAGGGTAAATTGCATCTCTTGTCATGTCTGATTTTCATGCATCTAATCGTCTTACTTTCATGACATAATAATAATGTACTACAACTACAACTTAATCAATTTCTTAACAGTAACAATAACAAGAAATTATGATATGATGAACATCATCCTACTCTTCACCATTTTTTGTTCCCAAAATCATCAAATTTCACTCATTTCATCATTAACATTGCCAATTTCTTGTCCCCTTTACCCTATCCCTCAATTTTTGTTTTTTCCTTTCATATATTTTTTTTTAAAAAAAAAACCTAAAAATTGAAGAAAAACCAAGAAGCATTACACTAGTAAATAGTAATTATAACAGTACCAATGTACCATATTATTTTGTCTTAATTGAACTTCTTATCATTTTCCTTGAAATAGAGTTCATCATCATCCACCACAACATTGCCCTCCTTGTCTTGATCACCACCATTTGCATTGTTATGCATCATCTCAAGCTCCCTCTTCTCCTCCTCCTCTTGCTCCTCGAAACTCGAAACCCGGCCTCGTACTCTCTCATTCTTACCACCCTCCGCCCTCCTCTTAAGCTCCACAAGCAACTCTTTCACCGCCTTCATCCTTTCTCTCCGATGCCTAATCAACACCTCGCTCACATCAGCCGGGGTCATCCCCGCCTTCCCCACCACCGCCTCGAACTCGGCTATCGTCTCGGAATCTAGATCATTCTCCTCTAACCCCACATAATTCCTAAGCAAAATCTTCAAGGCTTCAAAAGAACAGTTGCTAAGGTGTATGTGCATATCCATCCTACCACACCTTAGCAATGCAGGATCAAGCTTCTCCACATGATTTGTCGTAAAGACGAATATCCTCTCGCTCCCGCAGCACGACCACAGCCCGTCCGTGAAGTTCAGCAGGCCTGATAGGGTCACCGAACCGGGCCCGTGCGGGCCGTCATCCGGGCTCGGGTAATTTCTGTGCCCGCCCCTCTGGCGGTACTTGCTGTGCTTGTTGTCCTTCTGCCTGTCCGAGAGGTCGATCGAGCAGTCGATATCCTCGATCACAATAATCGACTTCGACGTCGTCTTCATGAGCAGCTTCCGGAGCTCAGAGTTGGACGACACCTCCGTAATCTCGAGGTCGTAAATGTCATAATTGAGATAATTCGCCATTGCAGCAATCATGCTCGACTTCCCCGTCCCGGGCGGGCCGTACAATAGGTAGCCGCGCTTCCAAGCCCGGCCCGTGGCCCGGTAGAATGACTCCCCGCTTGCAAACTCCTTAAGATCGGCCATGATCTCGGCCTTCCTCCGCGGGTCGATCGCAAGCGTATCGAACGTGGAGGGGTGCTTGAACGGCACAGCCTCCCACGGGTGGCCGGGCCGGGCCGAGTCCATTGACCCGCCCCGGGAATTGGTGTACAAATACCGGTCTTGATTCAACCTCCGGATTTCTCCGGCCCGGTCCATGATGTGATCCAAGTACGGGCCCAACACCATATCCTTGGCTGATTTCTTGACCCGGAGACTGAACCCGCGCTTCTCATCGGGCACGGGCCGCCAAGAGAAGGACTGAGACGGCCTTTGTGTTACAATGTGCTCCCACTGAACTGCCACCCCTTTGAATGTATCAAAGAGGGTGTCATTGTGTGCCAACCCGAACGTTACCGCCGAGGAGTTTATTGAGCGGGTTAAGCTTAGCCTACCCGCGGATGCAGCTGTTGCGGCCGCGGTAGAGCTAAGATATAGCTGGACGGCGTTATACAACTCGTTCGTGTTCACGCCGTCGATCTCAGTTATGTCAAAGTAGCAATAACAAGAGAAATAATTAGAAATTCGGTTGAAGAATTTGAGAAAAGTGTAACGAAATGAAGGTGGGAAAATTGTTGTTAGTAAACTTTGGCAAAAAGCTAGTACCCCCATTAATGAAGCTAATGAGGTCCAAAATTCTCTCATTTTTTGGTTTTTTTTGATGGGTTTTTCTAATACAAAATTTATGTGATGATAAAAATTTGTTGTTTCATAAATAGAATTTATAGATGAAATTAATTTGTAGGTAGAGTGAGTAGTAGAGTAGGGGTGAGTGAGAGAAGAAGATGAAAAGAAATGAAAATATTTGGGGATAAAATGGAAAGGGGGTTATATAAGTAGTCAAGTGAGAGGGACATGGGATATCATCATAAGGGACAGAAAGAGAGGCATCTTTTTAGGCTGTATTTATGTGAATGTGTTGCAGGATGGGATTATGAGTAGGTTTATGATTTGTTTCCTTTCTTCTCTTTTTTTCCCACCCCCTCTCTTTTTGTCTTGTTGTTCTGAGATTTATATTTGATTTTAAATTATAGGTTCCACATACTTTATATCCTGTCTGGTTTATGTTTATATTTTCTCCGTTTCTGTAATTGACACTTCTTTTTTCTAGGTCCAATTCATAATAATTGACACATATATTCTTTCCGTTTTAAAATGATTGACACAATTTTCTTTCTTAGCTGTTTCAGAATAATTGGCACACTACTATAAGTGACAAAAGACTACTGTTAGATTATATATACCACATCCACCATGACTCATTAACTTTTACCACTCTCACTTTTTAGTAATAAGAGTATAGACTAAATCTAGTCACTTTTATTATAGGAAAAATTCATGGCAATAATCCGACCTTTAGCCCATTCTTTTTTAATAATCCGACCTTTCAATTATTATTTAATAATCCGATTTTTGGGGGTCTTTAATTTTTATTGGTCTCATTTGACCAGAAACCGGTTGAAAAAGTAATTTTTTTTTAAGTTTAATTTACACGTGTCACAATTTGATTTGTCCAAAATTAAAAAAAAATTAAAAATAAAAAATAAAAACCACCACCCCTGCCACCATTCCCTCTCCTCCTCCCCTTCATGCAGCTCCCCTCTCCCCCAGTCCAGAAATCGGTCAGCCGGCGTCCAGCTCACCCACCGCCGGCTAACCCACCCTCTATTACTCCGACCTCCCCTTAACCGTCGCCCCACCCATCCAAACGAACCCTAACCCGCGAAAATCGCAACCAACCTCCACCTTCACGAACATCAATTCTGATTCCACCCCTTCCCGATCATCGCAGCCCCGAAACCACCCCTTACCATGTTTTCCGACCCCCATAAATCTTATTCCCCCACCTAACACCACCAAAAAATCGGATTAACTCAGAAAACCCGAAACCCCGAAAAAGGGGTGTAGTGGTGGCGGTGAAGTGACGGTGCATCGATGGCTTTAATTGCTGTCTGGTGGTGCGTGTGTGAGAGCAGCGAATGGTGCGTGTGAGAGCAGTGAAGTGAGCTGCTGCTATTGTTTGCTGGGTGGCGTGAGGTGGTGTTTGTTTCGGGGTTTTCTGATGTCCTGCGGGAGAGTTACAATTCCGAGACTGGAACCGGACGCCTGTACCTGCAAAACAAACGGATGCTCCGGATGATTGGAGATCCGCCTCCGACGGTCAAGTTAGTACTTGATTAAGGAGTAATTAATGCGGAAATTAAAGTGATTGGGTCTCTCTAGGTGAGAGAGTTTAATGTGTGTAATCTGCGTAATCTCCCTTAATGAGGATTAAGGGAGGTATTTATAACCTCGGGAAACGAGCCAATCTAGGTTTAGGTTAACCTTGGGCTGATTGGGCTTCCCACGGAAGTTGGGCCTAGGTGACCGGTTATCCCAGGTGTTATGGGAAGGACACGTGTCGTGTCGTAATTGGTCCATAGTGGACGGATCATTGCTTGACACGTGGCAGGCTCCTATTGGCCCATGTGACGGACACATGGCGGAACCTGATTGGTCCACTTGTCAGATGGTGATTGGTGGGGAAAAATCCCCTAATCATTTTCCCCTCACAGGTGGCACGTGACTGGTCACGTGTTACCTGTGACAGGTATCGCCCTGTAACAGGCAACGACCTGCTACAGGTGTCACTCGGCGAGAGGCCGAGAGATTCTCCTGCCAAAATTTTGAATTCTTGAAGTGACCCTTCGCCTTCTCACTTCGCCTATATAAAGGAGTGTTGACTTCGGTCATTTTCACACTTGAAAACTTTGTGAGAGAACATTCAGACCCCTGAACTTGCTCTGACATTTTGGACCCTTTCTGCCTACCGCCTGCTCTGACAAGCCGACTGCAAAGGATTTTCAGAACTTCATCAATCGTCAGTCGTTCAGGTAACCGTCGGTTCTCTTACTCTTAATTTTTTCTTTACTTTATTCTTTTTTGAAATGGCACCACGGAAGTACACAACACGACCTAGGTTAGTGATCAGCCGGTCACCGGGGACGGCTGAATCTAGGACTAGGAGTGCCGCCTGCCCTTTTCTGGACCCATCTTTGCCCTTTATACAAAGTCCGACTGTATCTGTGTCTATGCAGAGCATGATGGCCAGAACAAAAAAGACTGTCAGGATCTCAAACTCAGACGGCTCCTCCCACAGGGTGCCGATTAGTGAAACATCTGACCAGGCGCTAGATGTGGAAGTGAAACAAAGCGGCTTGAAAGCCGGCAGTTCTGAGGGATGAGTCAAAGTGACCCCTTCCCATTTTACAGTTGACAATTCTACATTCTCTCCTGCTCCTTTTAAAGGAGAGGAGGCGGGCCCCTCCGGGAGAGGGGAGGAGTCGTCCTCTTCGGACTCGTCAGAGGACGATTCCGAGTCTAGCTCTTCTGGCCATGCTTCTCTGGACACAGAAGAGAAAAACAGTCGCCTGCAAGAGGCGAGGCTTTCTCACGCAGTTGAGAAGGGGGACGATTGGGCGGAGCCATCCGCCTCTCACCGAGAGCAAAATACCCCCTACTACTGCACGGTACCTCGGGGCCGGATAACAGCCATGCAAGAGAAAGTGGAGAGCTTTATCGCAAACCACACAATGGGCCCCGACTTTTTAGTGTTTGTGCCGGATCCAGAAGACACAGTCGTCTGGCCGGCTGGTACCAGTTATGATGGCGCCTGCTTTGGCTGCTACGAGGCGGCCATCAAGGCTGGGCTGCGCTTCCCACTACATCCGGTTGTTCAGCGGATCTTGGATGGGTATGAGTTGGGGTTATGGCAGTTAGCCCCGAACTCCTGGGTCAACGTACTCGGCTATGTGGCCAGGTGCGAACTGCACGGGGTGGAACCGAACTTCGAGGCTTTCGCCCACATGAACTACCTCAGCCGGACCCCTAAGGCAGGCGGTACCGGCTGGTATCAATTGACGAGCCACAGGGGCTACCTCATGACGAGAGGTAAAGCAAACAAATGGAAGGACTGGCGGAGCACCTTCCTTATCATTGAGAGTTCAGACACAGAGCTGAACAAGCGCTTCAACAGGTGGAACAGGAATCCGCCCCTTCTTGCAGGTTGCAGGCGGCCGCAGCATGCCGCCTGTTCCCCCCAAGGCTAAGAAAGAGATCCTAGATAAAGGACTCTTCAAAGTAGAGTCGAAGGTGAACTCTACTTCAGGGGTACGAGAGCAAGTACCCCTGCACTGCGTCCCGAGCTTCAAATGGCACTACGACGAGTACTTTTTGGCCGCCTGTGGCCTCAGCAGTCGGTGCTCAAGAGGTAGCCGGCCTGTCGAATACTCTGTTGTTCCATGCATTTCTTGTTATGACTTTTATTAACTTTGCTATTTGTTTTTGCAGCGGACGCCATGAGCAAAATTACCGCCTCCAAGACTGCGGCGGCCATGTTGCGGGCCTCCATCATGCAACAGTCTTCAACCGACTCCCCCAACAAGGGGGCACCCTTGGTGGGCTTCGAACCTTTCACCCTCTTTTTGGAGTTGTGTTTATGCATATACTGACTCTTTTCTTCTTTTTTAGACGGGCGGTCCAAGAGCTTCTTCTTCCCAACAGCCGGACCCCAAGGCCCGGAGGACGACTGTTGCGAGCTTTCCTGGTTCTGCCAGGAAACATGCGGCGGCTGAGAAACAGCCGACCACTTCTTCTAAAACTCCAGCTGGGCCACCTAGAAGTATGAAATTATCCTTGTAAATTTTAGACTTGCTCCCTTCTTTACTAGGTCTAATCCGTTTGTTTATGCTTGATGCAGCCGGCCCTCAGGAGCCTGACTTGGTCGAGGTGGCCAAGTCTATGATTAAGGTCGTTCCTCCAGCTGAAAGGGAGGCGGTCAGGGGTGTCGGCACCCTTGACCTAGACGGGATTGCAGGGGTCCTTGCTGAGGTATACTTAGCATATTTTTGAGTATTTGAATTCCAGGACGCCTGTTTTCTTTTTTGTTTGGAAACTGACGCATGTTCCCCTTTTTACTTAGGCCCTGCTCCGAGTGAAAGGCCTTCGCAAGCCGCTTGACCGGAAGAACAAAGAGGTAAAGGCTGCAAAAGCTATGGCCGCCTCTGACTGTGATAAGGCAATGTTTCAAATTGCCCAAAATGAAGTTCTGACCATTGATATTCTTTATTATCAGGCGCAGGCTACCGCCGCTATCCGGGCTCAGTTAGAGGCGGCCCAGAAGAGGAATAGCGAGCTGGAGGCGACCATCAACAACCTCAAGGCCGAGCTGAGACCTCTTCGCCAAAAGATGTCCTCTACGAAACCTTGGAGAAATCCTTGGCGAGCGTAAAGGTACGCCTGGTGACCCAGGAGAAGAGTCTTACTCAGGAGCTCTCGGAAAAGGCCGAGCAAGAAAAGAAAGAGCTGGTCTGGGAGATGATGGAAGACTCTGCTCAAATCCAGCGCATGACTTGGGGCCGCCTCTTCCCCAATGCCGACTTTGCCTCATGGGAAAAAACGTACAACTAGTGTTCTGATAGATATAATCAAGAGATCCTGGCGGCTGCTGAGGAAGAGGCGTTGGAGGAGGAGGAGCAGCCGGTAGTGGCGCTTGTGCCGCTTAGGGGTAATGCATCAAAGAAGGATGCAGCTGAAGCCGAGTCCAGCAAGAAGAGTGCTGACCAGGCGGCAGCTGCTAATATTGAAGATCTGCCCCCTTCTTAAGCTTTATGTCTGCTTTCCACGGCCTGCGTGCCGTTTGTTTGTATTTACCCGGCCAGGGGGCCGGGGCTCTGAATATTTTGCCGGTCTTTGATGACCGGCTTCTTTTTAATGATTTTTTTTTTGTTTTGCTTCAAATTTGTTTAAGTATTGAATATTCTGATATCCAATTGTACACTATACCGACTGTTTTACATGGCCGATAGTTGCAAACAGGTACAGATAGTTAGTCACGCCGCCTATGCCCCTGGACGACTGGTTGTCTGTTTCCAGGCTAGACGATCAGTCAGCCATTTATCCAATCGGTATTCGAACCATTTTAAAGACTGGATCCCCTTTAGGCAGGCGGTCCTGTCATTTGTAAAATTTAACCAAGTAGGAAAGTTGTTTCCTACTTGTCATGCTTTTAGGCTAGATACTTTAAGCCGTCTAGGCCGACTGTTTCCCACCATATTAAATCTAGTGTGAACAGGTGTTGTATGAACACCTTTTTAGTTTCATACTAAAATTTTTAAGGAGTGACCAAGTAAACATGATTGTTACCTAGTCGCCAAGTAACTGAGTAGTAGAGGTATCAAGCGGTGGGTACCGGTTGTTCCCCTTT